AAAAAAAAAAAAAAAAAAAAAAAGAGGTGAAAGCAGCAGCAGCAGCAGCGGAACGGTACCTCTTACTTCACCACTGTGCAAATGGACACAGCCAAAGGGGAATGTCTTTAAATAACCATGTAGCTGTATAGCACCTGCCTATGGGGTAAAAATATTTCTGACCACAAAGGAGACCGGATATTCCTGGGTACACATAAGCAACAAGGACCCAGACCCTGGGTTTGACCACATCGATTCAATACAGAGTGATTTTTTTCCTAAAAGAAAACAAAAAATAGATTTAAATCAGCAAACAGCACCAGCTGAGCCATTCCTAATTGTCCCAATTTACCTCCCCCAGGCAGCAATTCCTTATCTGAGCCACACGTTGCTCTGCCCCCTCGGATCCAGAGAGCCCTGTGGCTCTTGGCAGCTGTGACGATTGAGATGGGACACACATGATGCCTGATTTTTCAGGCCAGGGAGGGGAGTGGCGCTTGGTCCCAGCTGAGCGCTGCTGCAGAGGATGTGTGCAGCAGTTGGCAAGTCAGCAACCTGGCACCTGACGGCCCCGTGCACCAAACAGCATGTTTACAGCTGTTTGCCCGCTCTTTATGGCCACGCAGGAGCCCTCTGAGCTCATCTGACCTCCTGTCCAAGCCAAACCTTGATGTGTTTTGTTTTCTTCCCAGAAGCTGGGCTGTGACATGCTTTTACAAAAGATGTCTCATCTTCTTCCTAAAAGATTCCCCGTGATTCTCAGTCCCTCACCTCCCCCGGCAAGCTGCTCAGATGCTTGATTGCTTTCTCTGCTAGGAGACCGTCTCTTATTTTAAGGCTGAATTTGTCTGACTTCCAGTTCCAGGCACTGGGCCTTCGGGTGGGCGACTGAAAAACGCCCCCACGTGCAATGAACTGTCAGACATGCCTTTCAATAGAAATCTTTTGTCTGGTTTCCTAGCACCTGGATCAGTTTTGTATCTCTTCTTTGAACCCTCTCTCCTTCGTCCCCATCTTGAAGTGGAATTGAACCCAAGGGTGCAGCGGCATCCTGACGAGGAGGGGTGCAGAGAGAAGATGACTGCTTCATCTCCTTGTTCCTGCACAGGATCACTTCTGTCCTTTCTGTCACAGCTCTTTGCACTGAAGTCAATCTCCCTGGGTCCATTTTGGGTCAGAGTTCCCCAGAGCAGAGCCTGTAGCTCTGCACGCAGACCTTGCACTCTCCAAGCTCGGATGTCTTTCCTGACTCTTGGATGCACTGGGATAACTTCTGGTTGGGCTGTGACTATTTGGCCATTGAGCAACCTTCACCATTTGCACACAAGTAACTCCTGTGTGCTAACAACTTGCCACGCTGAAAAATCAAATGCTTCTTCTGTTTTTGTTTACCACATCAACCCTCATGTGGTCTGCAGCCTTCAAAAGGATGTTTCTGTGTCATCTAGGTTGTTTGTGCAAATATTCAACAGCACTGAACCAAGAAGTGACCCTTACAGACCCAGCTACTAATGAAGACACGCACCGGTGTTCACCTTTCCTGGTTTTAGCTCATCTACAGCTGCCTACATTTCAAAGCTTAGAGCTGATATTTATTCGCATTGACTTCTCCCTTTGCTCTTCCTTTGCAGACTGATATCTGTGCTTTAGTGCTTCTTTCTTTTTTTTTTCTTTTTCTCTTTTTTCTTTCTTTTTTTTTTTTATTTTAAGGAAAATGTGTTTTGTTTTTCTTTACCCTGCTAAAAAATGTTGTTGTTTTTCCCTCCGGTGTTGGTGGAATAGTGGTTTTCTGAACACCCACTTAGGCGTTCACGGACTATTCAAAGATTTTTTGGGTTGGGCTTGTTTTTAACCCACTTGCTGTTAAGCAAAGGCAAATCTATTCCATGTAATTCTTTTGTAAAAAGAAGATAAGACCCAGAAAGATAGGTGAAAGATTTTTCCCAGTGCCTATAGATTGGGTGGAGAAGGGAAAGATATCCCTTCCCCATGGGTGTTGGAAGAGCTGGGAGCACCCTGATGCTGGGCTACCACTCTGCTACTGATTCCTTCATGGTAAACTTAGAGGGGCAGCGTTTCCTACTGCTCATTATGGGGACCTTTTGCTTATTTAAACACCCACGTCTTTTCCTGCTGCAGAAACACCAGGAACCCCTGTGTATTTAGATTTCCAGTATCCAGGGAAGTGCCTACAAAGGGTTTGGTTTTCGATCAAACAGGAGCACAGGTACGGGAGATATCTCCTCCCTTATTGCCTCTCCCGACAGTCAAATCTCCTAGGGTTGGCAGATTTATTAGAGTATCTGCCTGGGCACAGATATTCAGAAATCCACAGGAAGGGTTTTGCCTCTTTCCATTTGCCTTGGATCCTCAGAGGATGGAGATACACACCAGTGCCTCTAGTCGTGAACTGAACAGGACCACGTGCTGCCCCATGGATATGCTGTTAGAGTCCACCGTGCCCCTGCCCAGGGACAGAAAGTGGGTCCAGGACCATTTTGTTACCAGAATAGATACAACTTTACATCCAATGGCTTTAGGGTTCTATTCCTGGAGGAATAAGTGTAGAGTGGCTGTGAGGAGAGCTCAAAGGGTAGAGGATGGGGTCAATCAGCAGCAAGTGTCTTTGATGGTATTTTAAAGTAATGCGGCCAACTCCTTCTGCACTATGCACACTAAACCTTGTGCCACCACTGGCGAATGCAGTGAGACTCGCGGCTCTTCTACCTCAGTCCCCTTTAAAGCATCTCTTTCCCCTCTTCTTCCCAGGAACAGCACTGTTCTGAACTCCAAAGTCATCTCCGTGACTGTGAAGCCATTTCCCCGGTCTCTCCTCACCCCTTTGGAAATTGAATTCTCCCACCTCTACAATGTAAGTCTTTCTTGGGAACCTGCACCATCCCACAGCCATGT